CCCAAAAGGTGAGAGGGCTTGTACCAAAAAAAAAAAAAAAAAAAAAAAAATCAAGTCAAGAAGACAGCCTGGGGTCCTAGCACCCACATAACAGCAGTCACACTGCATTTCTACTCACTTATTTAATAGCCTTCTTATTTTGGTATAAAAAAAAAAAAAAAAAAAAAAAAAAAAAAAAAATCAAGAAGACAGCCTGGGGTCCTAGCACCCACATAACAGCAGTCACACTGCATTTCTACTCACTTATTTAATAGCCTTCTCTTCATATTTTGGTATTTGGTTTTAAACAACTTAAGAACAACCATTATTTGGAGTCTTCACTCTTCCAAACAGTTATGCCTCAGGACAAAAATAAAGTGATTCAAGTGAGTGTTAGCTGAAGATGCTGTGCTAATTGCCCACGTCAGAAATTAGTCAATTGACTACATTAGAACCAAATCAATCATATTTTCTGTTTCCTCTTTGATATACTTCGTCCTAATCATTCTAGCTTTGAGTTGGAATTCATACATGTTCACATATTTTCCTTTTGTACTACTATTTTATATTTTATTTTATTTTTTTGCGGTACACAGGCCTCTCACTGTTGTGGCCTCTCCCATTGTGGAGCACAGGCTCCGGACACACAGGCTCAGCGGCCATGGCTCACGGGCCCAGCCGCTCCGCGGCATGTGGGATCTTCCCGGCCAGGACACAAACCCGTGTCCCCTTCATCAGCAGGCGGACTCTCGACCACTGCACCACCAGGAAAGCCCTGTACTACTATTTTTAAGCTTATGTGTAAATTTCATTTTCTGGCTTTGTGATATGGATATAAGCCATCTTAAATAGTTTCTGAAAGAAAAGACAATAAAAATAAGTAAATTTAGTCACTACCTTACTCCAAAAGTGTCATTTGGTGGTTGCTGAAAAGTATGAACTGAAGCACTGCCTAAATGCCCAAAGACCCATTATATCATTTTCCCCCATATCAGTTCCTTTTGGGTTTAGAAGTAAGAAATCTTCATTTATATTATTTTATTTATTATTCACCCCTACTCTAGTAAGATAAAACCATAGTAAAGAGTGTGTACCATGCAAATAGCACTGCTCTAGTCTAGAGTATTTTGTCACCTACTCTGTTGGTTGCCTTTTTGAAAATTGTGAGCTCAATTGTCTTTTTGGTTTCTATATGTAGTGCATTGTAGATTTTGCCCATTTTTGAGTGCTACATATATTGATTCTTTTCTATTTCTCATTATCACCTTTTCTAGGTCTACAGCATCAAGACAAGAGTAAGGACTCACCATGGTACTGAAACACACAGTATTAGCAAATTAGATTGCAGCGTGAATTCATGGGCCCACTGGGAAAAGATGCTGCCAGGGTTTGTCATTCTGCAGTGGGACACCATAGACATGGAAGGAAAAGAGGAAGTGTTATCCAGCTGACTTTGGTTTGGAGCCTTTTCTTGAGAAAGCAGAGTGGGTCATAGACATTGAAGAAAAGCATTTTTGTTTGTTTTTTCCCTCATCTGAGCCTTTGCCAACTGTGCAACTCTCTTTTATTTTTTGTCTTGCTTTTAACAATACATGGTTTAATTTTTGTTTCAGTTTGACACTTTTTTTGTATTTTGTTTTTGTTTTTTTCTTTTTGAACCAATCACCTTGTCAGGAAAAGATGAACCACAAAGAAAATGATCATTCTTTCAGGAATACAATTTTGTAGCTCTATGTGCATCTATTTTTGTAAAAATACAGAAAGTTTGATTTAGCATTGATGGGCTATTTTTGAGGGATGTGGGTTTTTTTTTAAATATTGTAACAATTGTTAAGTTCTGTTTAAAGAACTTGCTCTCAGAGAAGCACTGGCAAAAATGTTTAAAATGCTTGGCTTTAAGATGTCTGTGATACGCTCTGTGCTTTCTAGCTTACCTCAGATGTTTGATAGTTTCTCCTTTTTACAAAAGTAGCACCATAGCCAAGCCAATATAGTATTATTTTACATTCAATCTCAGTGAAGATTTAATTCCATGCTAGCTCACTTAGCTCTGAGTTATATGTAAAGCTTGAAAAGGAAGTTTTTTAATGATCACACTAAAGAAAGGCTATCTCATTACTTTGATTTCTCCCAAAGACTGCTTGGAGGTTGACTAAGAAGAAAGTTGGCATAAACTTTCAATCAGATGGAGAGTTTGCCTAGAGTATATAATTATCTTTCTAGTCCATCTGACTTTGAAAAATGGAACCAGAATTTCTATCCAACTACTGGAAAAAAAAAACAACATTTAATCATGCTACCTTTAAGTGCCAGTGACTTATTTTTCTTGTTTATAATTATTCATTCATGGCAATTTTTTGCCATATTTTAAGTGAATTTTTTTTTTCCTGAAGATAGTTTGAAGGGATAATATTTGGGAAGGTACTAGACACATCACAAAGCCTTTAATTCAATGGCTGTTTCTGAGAGTGTTACCCATCATTTTAAATTGAAAAATAATGTATTGCATATGTAATATTTTAAATCAGTTTTTGTGTCTTTTTTGTCTGTTTAACTCTGGTTTTAGTTGATTTAGTTCTTTTTAAGAAAAAAATGGGGGCAAGATAAATTTAAATTGGGATTTATACTACAATTACTGAAATTAGGTTAATAAATTGACAACTTATTATCTGAAATTTATTACTGAGGACTCAGGATTCAACTTGACATGGCCCTCAGGATCTAAATAAGAAAAAGTTGGGATTATCATTAAAATGCTATTAGGAAAAGATTAGGTTTATAAAAGTAGCCGTTATTGGTATTTTAAGGACTTTCAATGTGAAGTCCATTCTTTCATTTGCTTCCAGAGATGGCTCATATCAAAAAGGTAGTATTATATAGAAGTTTTAGTTTGTTAAAAATGTTTCTCAATTTTTCCCATCTCTGTCCTCACCCATGTGAAATTAAATGTTTAGTGAAATACATTTTCCATCTTAAATAGTGTATCTCATATGTGTGAACATTTTAGATATAAGAACAACATAGTCTCTGCTTAGCTAGGCAGAGTTCTCACAGATAATTTTCAAATATTTCCCTTAACTTTATTTTTATGCCATAGTCTTCTTTCCTGGTGCATCTTATGAGTTATAAATCTATACACTCTCTTGTATTTTCATCACTATATTGCTTCTTAACCAGACTACTCTTAACACAGTATACACATTTAACCTATGTGAGGTCCAAATGTAAGGAATCTTCCACTTACTAATGATATGAACTTAGATTTCTAGGGAGTGGCTTGGTTAAATTATCTACATTTTGACCTACAATTTGATTTGATACAATTATTTGTAATTTGCCTAAATCTGTGTAGCACAAGGTTGAATGAATCTATAAAATTTGTTTTACTTTGTGTCCTCCTGGATTCTCAAAGACCAGTGTTCAGTAGCTCCCATGGGATGACTCACTGAGGATATTTATTTTCCTCCTCTTCCCTTGGAACCTGTTAACTTCCTTTGCAGTTTCTTTTAGAGCAGTTTTGTACTCCAACTCATTCAGATCGTTCAATTGGATTTTCCCAATTATGAGAAGAAACGTATTGACTTTTTGCCCGTTTCCTTACTCTCCACTGAATTGAATGTAAGGCAAGAGAGCTGACAATTAGATAGTTTCACCCTGAATTTAGGGTGACACTCTGCCCTGTGTCACTCCTGGTATCTGATAAACATTCCTTGGCTCAGAGGACCCAAGAAAAGTTGGGGATCTGAATTCTGCTGTACACAGGAGAGATTTGTGAGTGAGATCCCCCATTGAGAACAGGCCCAGGTGTTGCTGGCACATCACAGGGACTGGATCCTTGCATATACAAGGAGTGGATCAAAATGTGAGTCAAGAAAGATGAGTGCCTGTCTCTGTAATTGTCTCACATCCCATTGCTACAATCATATCACTATTAGCACCGAAGTCATAAAAGAGGATGAGCTGTAATTTAGTATGATTCTGAGTTTAAGTTTAAAATGCTGTCACTCTCTGAGTTGGTTTTCTTGCACCAAAATGATACTGTTAATTTTGGAGGCTTCCAGACTGCTTTATTGAGGGCTACCATCTCCCTCCCCAATTTCATTTGCAACCACTCCACCTTTGGTTATTTTATAAATTAGGTTTTATTCAAGCTTTCTAAAGAACTGTGAGCTAGATCCTAGAAAATCATCTCATTGATTTGACATCTAATCTATGCTTCAACCACTAAACTATCATGAAATAAGAAACAACAAAATAGTGATTAGGTAGATCTTTACAGGTTATTTGGTTCTTCACTGTTTATTTCCTCTTAGAGTTATTTACATTACTATTTTAAGCAAAAATGGCCGGGATTGCTCTACATTTTGCAAATGATAACAAGTGGTTTGCAAATAATTGAGAAATTAATTTCTTCAATGTTGTAAAAACCTTTTTTTAAAAAAAATTCTAGGCACTGGCATAAACTGTGCCCTTGAGGAGCTCGTTATTCATTATACAAATGGCAATCAGAAACTATATTTTTAGAAACTGCATTCTATCCCTTACTGAGTGCCCCTTGGTTATGTAATGTTTGCTAAATTAAGTCAATGGGGCAATGGTACTAAGAGGTAGAAAAGGCTAGTATTTATGTTACAGTTCGACTAGAGGATAAATAGAGGAGCAGAATGAATTAATGAAAAAGAACCCAACAACATTGGCTTGGACATTAGATCATTTTCTGAATTCTGGTTTAGCCATAATTAGATGTGTGTTTTGGTGTTTCATTTATTTATCTCATGAGTAAAGTGGGATAATAATACCTAACTGGCAGGCTGGAAATCATATATTTTTACTCAATCATCTGGCTTATAGTAGACATTCAATAAATGACAGATACCACAAATACCTATCAGCTGAGTAAGTAAATCATAAAATTGAGCTCCCAAACATCACTTCTGTTTACTTTCCACACCCATTTCTGTAGCAATCACATAGTTATGACTGTGCTTTTCTGTAAGAAATTGCTGCAAGAGAATCTTTGCCTTCTACTAGATGTTGAAGATAAAACATAAATTTCTAAATTATCTCTATTTTAGTGTGCTGTTTATGAAGGAAAATAAATTAACCTTTTAGTGGTATGTAGACCCAGCTTTGAGTTTTCTTACATGTTCCAAACTTTTATTCATCCAGGACCCTGTGTATTATTGTCCCCAAAATTAAAGTGACAGTTTCATGAAATCACCAAAGTTTTAATTTTTTCATTATATTTTGGGCTTCCTTAGCACCTAGAATAAAAACATCTCTTTTGAAGTTATCCCATTTTTTTTTTACTTGACTTGGAGAAAAAATTGCAAAATATGGTGGAAAAAATCTTCTGCATGAAAAGAGGAGGAAAAAAACCCCAACCCTTTATGATCTCAGTCAGCAGATTTATTCTACTTGAGAAAAAAAGAAACAACTTCATTGGAAGCAGATGTTGACACTGTGTCAGTTATTGAAGATGGAAAGGGTTCACTTGAGCCATTGTGGTTACAAAGGGGTATCAATGGCTGTTAAAATTCCTGTGATTGAGCATCTTCACAGCAGACAGGACAGCAGAAAAGCTGAAACTATGAGACCAAGACTGAAATCAGCCTGCCAATTTTAATGTACAGGACCCTAAGGACTCAGTTTTTTTTTTGTTTTTTTTTTTTCCCTCCTTCAGGATAAAAGACATATCTTTAAAAAAATTTAAGGTGGTTTGAGAGAGAAATTAAAATGTATTCTCTAAAAACATAGCCCTAGAATCCTTTAAATCTATTATTAAACATTAAAACTATTATTTAAGTCATTTTAGAAAAATCAGGGTAAAAATTTAGTTTAATAATATATGTTGAAGAAACAGACTCACAGACATAGAGAACAGAGTTGTGGTTGCTGAGGGAGAGGTGGGGTGGGAGGAGGAAGGATTGGGAGTTTGGGATTAACAGATGCAAACTAGTATATATAGAGTGGATAAACAACAAGGTCCTACTGTATAGCACAGGGAACTATATTCAATATCCTGTGATAAACCATAATGGAAAAAACATGAAAAAGAATATATATATGTATAACTGAGTCACTTTGCTGTACCACTGTACCACAGAAATTAACACAACATTGTAAATCAACTATACTTCAATAAAATAAAAAAAAATAATGTATGTTGAAGAAGAATATGTAAACTACACACAAATGGAGAGTGGGGAACGCGTGAGGCCTGCAAGGGAGCCTCAGTTCTAATAGCTTCAAAATGTTAATTAATTGGTAACTTGGTCATGGAGATTGGGCACAGAACAGACTTTCAGAATTTTCAGTAGGTTTTTTTCTTTTAGTGCTCGCTGGGAATTTCCCTCTATACACTTTCCAAAGTATAGAAATAGTCATTATAATTAAAATATCATAATTTTCTTATCCCTTTTATTGTCCATTGTGCTTTATTGTCTGTTTGAAAAATATTTTTATAGTTTCAGATAATTGATCAAACTAATGTTCTCTCGAAAATACCAATTAATTTGATCCAATACAATTATCTAAATCTTCTTTTAAAGTTTCAAGAAATGATAATTGAGTTAAGTGTAATTTACCAATTCTTTTGTGTAAATAAACAATGACACCTAGAAAATGCCACGTCATCATCGATTAGCTTCCTTGTTAACAATTTCTGGACTACTAAATTTTGCCCTAAGAATAACTCTTTTAGAATACAAGATTCTTTAATTAGTTTTTTTTGGTATATGCATAAGAGGTGAAGTTTTCTAATGATATCTCTTACTGATA